TTGTGGTGGTTGGCAACAACGATGATGAATGGGGGTAGCAGTGGTGGCAACGGAGGTGATGTTGGTGGGTATTTTTTTTTTTTTTTTTAGGGTTTAGGATGATAATATGATGTGTAGTGCTTTTTAGGGTTAAGTAATTGAAAAAAAAAATAGTTTGAGAATAAAAAAAAAGTAGGGACAATAAATTAGAAGTTTGAGTTTTGAAAGTCGACATAATTTCTCTTTCCAACGTATGTTGTGCTTAACCCGCCGCCACTACGTACAATCATAAAATATTTAAGGTATCGTTACTGATTTATAATTCGATGCATGTTTTACATGATTAAAGTTTGCAAACTCGACTATTTAGGCTAATTTAATACTTATCAAAGTAGGGCACAAAGTTTACTTATAAGTCATTAGGTGATATAATTAGAAACCCACAAGATTTTAGATGTAGCAACCGCAAAATATCATTGCTAGTTCAATCTCGACGTTGAACACCTACCAATTAAAGTAATATAAAAAGGGTATCAATGCATAAACTATCATATTATATTAAACCAAATCTCCATATAACTTAGATTGGTTTCTATCATAAAATAGAGTTCGAGTCATGAACTAAGTTCAAGAACAAGACATACATCATTTATGAAAAAATTTAGTCGTCAGATAATTTTAGAGGGTGTTTTTAGTGGATTGTGATAGAAATTTTTGAAATGTGTGGTTGAAAAGATGTAGAACATAGCCCATTTTGGTGTAGATAAAAATAAGATTTTTAGTAGATTTTGATAAAAATTGATGAAATATGTGATTAAAAAGTTATGAATCCCATAAAATGTATTGTTGAAATTAATTGTTGACTTTAACTTGAGATGTTTTGGTAAATTTTAATCAACACCAAATAAGGGCTTCATATTGTTTGTTATTTGTGTTATAAACATGATTTGTCTCTTGATATAATCATGAGTCCAAAAACTATCCTAAAATTAGTCAGATAATAAGATATCAATTACAATAAATAACCAATAATCAACGATCACAAGAACTGAACAATATAGTGAAGTAAAAAGTCAACATATTTTCATCATAATCATAGCAACAAAAAGTCTAATATGTCATAATTTGATCGCAAAACACAAGATGGAAGATGAATACATAACACTGATAATTTAGAAGAGAAGTTATGTACAACCCTTCGTCTTAAATCTCTTCAATGATTGTATATAACACCTTTTGCTTCAAATTCATCCAACTCTTAAAGAATTCCTTGTATTTTTGCTTCCAAGAATTGTTGTATCTTCACTTATGATGTGTTGAGGTGTTATGATGTATAGAGAACGTATGATGATGGTTTTCTAATTTCCCCTATTTAGTATAGTAAATCAGATTTTTAGTAAAATTTAATGAAATATGTGGTTGAAGTTGTGGATTCAATGAAATATATAGTTAAAATTTATCCTCTAATTTCCTCACATGCTTTGCATGTAAGCTCTTAGTTTTGTTTCTTTGACCTTCCGGTATTTGATCCTCACTTTTAGGTCCATCCATTTTGGTCCTCCAATGTTCAAATTGGCCCTTCATTTTTTATTTTCTTCAACTTTGGTCCTCATGTTCCATGAATGTGCAAGGTGGTCCACACAAAGTTATAATTTCGGCCACTTATGGTCCCCCAAACTCTTCTAGAGCTTTCAATTAACTTGTCGAACCTCTCGGCAATAATGCACTTAAATCCTTTTGTCCAATTTAAGTCTAAAATTTACCTTTATGCTTATTTCAACTCGAAGTCAGGATTTTCACTTATAAAATTTACCTTTATGCTTAATTCACCTCAAAGTCTAAAATTTGATCGCAAAACACAAAATGGAAGATGAATACATAACAGAGATTATTTAGAAGAAAAGTTATGCACAACTCTTAGTCTTGAATCTCTTCAATGATTATATATAACACCTTCTTCCGCTTCAAATTCATCCGACTCTTAAAGAATTCTTTGTATTTTTTGCTTCCAAGAAGTGATGTATCTTCAGTTATGATGTGTTGAGGTGTAGAGAATATATGATGTATCTTCATATTTTCTTTTCTTCAACTTTGGTCCTTCATATTCCATGCATGTGCAAGGTGGTCCACAAACTTATAATTTCGTCCACTTTTGATCCCCAAACTCTTCCAAAGCTTTCAATTAACTCGTCGAACTTCCCGGCAATAATGCACTTCCATCCTTTTGTCCAATTTAAGTCTAAAATTTTCTTTAATTCTTAATTCATCTCCAAGTCGAGATTTTAACGTATAAAAGCAATAAGCCCTTAAGTCATAATTTAATGCATGTTGTACATGACTAAAATTTATTTCTAACCATGCAAATTAACCCGAACATTTACTGCTAATTTAATACTTATGAAATACGGTTTACTAACTCCTTATGCGCTGTAATTTGAAATGTTGCATTTACATAGAGCAACTACAAAAATATCATGGTTATTCAATCTCAACTTTAAATGCCTATCAAAGTACCATAGAAAGGGTACCAAAGCATAAAATTATCGTAATTGTACTGAACTATCAGTATTTGTAAAGTCTTTATAAACTGTTCAAATTATAAATAGATAAAAAATATAGCGATGAATAAGTGAATAATACTAGTGAATCCCTCGAAATATATGAATAAAAAGTGACATCGAATGTTTATAAACATGGTCCAACTATGGGCATATCACATATAAATTACGTACATTTATATGCTTGTTTGGGAGAAATTATAAGTTGTTCAAATTGTTAACAGATATAAATAAGCGTTGAATAATAAATAAGTGGATAATAGTTGTATTACTTATGGAATGTATACTTAAATTTAAATTATAATTAAGAAGATTATATAAAACAAACAAGCACAATATAAAAAAAAAAAAAAGAAACTCAGTCAACCTAAGATCAAACAATTTTAAAGTAGACCTAATTTTCTCTCTCTTCGCTAAGCTATTCTTGACTTTTTGTATCATTCACTCGACCAAAGTCCACAATAAGCTCACATAAAGACAAATTAATAGAACACTTTTCGAAGTGAAAAATGGCTTTCGGTGGAATAATCAATAATCTAAAGAAAGTACGGCTGTTCGTAGGTCGGTTCGGTTCGATTTTGAAGAGATCCCCGAATCTACTCAAAATTTTCGGGTATTTAATAAATTGAACCGTCGGGTCCAAATATAATTATGGAACCGTTCGGGTTCGGTTCGGTTCGGGTCGAGTCGGTTCTGTACCATAATTAAATTTTTAAATATTTACAGCAACACTACAGAAATACAACTAATGACATTTCATTCGTAACTTTTACAAATTAATGTAGCCCAATTCAAAAATATATAAATAACTAGTCATCCAATATGATTAATTCAATGCATACAAATATCAAAAAGTAGATATTAATATTACAGTAACACTATCTAAAGTATATTCATTTGTTTCAAATTAAAATGGGCTAATGGGCTTTAAAAATGATTTGGGCTTTAACATTAAAATTATGAAATAATCTGATTTATTTAATTAATTTGCTAATTTGTTTAAAAAAAATAAAATAATTTAACTAATTCAATATAAAAAATAAAAAATTTATTTA